TCAGGCTTTATCCGTGCTGCTAAAGAGACCCAGATGTTTTAACAACTACTCAGATTATTTGATAGCCTCCTCAACTAAGTAGAGAATGAATTTACATAATGCATTTCAGCTGTGAAGACTTTTTAAAAATCAAAGATTTCAGTATTTCAGATGGTAAGAGAAAACAATCTGGCTCCTTTCAGGTCTAGCTCATCATACTGGACACCATTCACCCCCAAATCTTCCCATTGAGCAAATATTGATATATGCTTAGGCCTGTCTAATGGCTAGGGAAGACTCCATACTTTGTCACACCCAGGCATTTTTCTAGACTTTCCTTTCTCCTATAAACATGATGAATGGATTTCTGCTTCTCTTTGCACATTGTCTTGTGTTCCTGGGACATAAATGGCTCTATGCAACTCTGGTTCATCAAGAAAGTACTTACTTCTACTTTTTAATCTTACACTTCCGTTATTCAAGTATGTCTGATCATTCAGTGCCTGAGCAAACTCCTACAACTTTAGAGCCCACGGAGATGGATGGTACTGATAGTAACTGTTGGTCGCTATCAGTCCTTGTCGAGGATACTGGCACGTGCAGATCCAGGGACGTTCCAAAATATGTTTGTGTGTTGGGGGTGGTGATGGGCAAAGGAAAGGAACATCACAGAAACACTGAAAGACAATGGGATTGAGCCTTTTTTTTTCTCTTACTATTTAAGGAAAAAAAGGTATTTGAGATTTCCATCTTTGAGGGTCATTCTTTAAGGAATCTTAGGATAGTACGTTTTGTAATATTGCATTGCATTGTGTTAGGAATATAAGCTCTAAAGTGAGAGAAGCCTATTTGAATCTCATTTCTCCCACTTGATGCTTGGGTGAGTCTGAATATGTTTATTTAAAATGTATGTGCCTTGGTTTCTTTGTTTTTTAAATAGAGATTGGTATAGTACCAGTACACAGAGTTATTCTGAAGAAAAAAAGTTAGGTACAGGCAAAGCATGAACAGTTTCTAGAACAAGAGTAATCATTCAATAAATGTTAGCTATTTTTTATTATTATTTTAAGTGCCTGTATTTTAACTCAAAATCATCTTACGCCTAAGAAACTTTAACCTCTTTTGTAAATTTTTCTAAAACATTCAGGTCTATTTTTCTCTTTTTGTAACTATTGAAAAGGGAAGGAGGTAACCCTCAGAACCTTCTCATACTTTGGGATCATGACTCTGATCAACATTTCTCCTCATAAGCATTCTACCTTAGCAACATGTGTGTCTCCAGATACATCCTAGGCTTGTGAGGACAAATATGTCATGCACCACCACAGAGCTTCTTGACTACCACTTGGCGTGCAACAGAAAGTTTCAAAACTTACTACTAGCAAAAAACAAGGAGCATTTATGCAGCTCACCTGTCTGGTGGAGGTCACCTGAACTGGCCTAGGGAGCCCTGCTGTTCTCAGCTGGGCTTCTTCATCCATTTGTTGATTAGCTGGAAATCGACTGATCTGGGCTTTGTTTTCCTTTTGGAGACAGCGGGCCGGGCAGGACATGTTCCTCTCAAGGTGGGGGCAAGAGCAGAAAGGAGCAAGCAGTGACATGCAAGGTCTCTTGAGGCTAGCCTCAGTCATGCACGGCCACTTCGGCCTCACTCTACTGGTCAGAGCAGGTTACACGATGAATCCCAAAGTCAACAAATGCACATACATTCCTCCTACGGGAGCTGAGTGGAGAGAAAGAATATTTCTGAACCAGAATTCAACCCACTACGCCCAAGCAGACATTGTTAAGTGATCACAATACTCTTCCACTGTGACTGGATAGAGCTTTTATATCCTTAATGGCCACTGTAATTGCTAGGATACCTGCTAAATATGAGGGGAAGAAGAAAAAAAATCTAAATGAGACTTCTGATTTTGCAGATTTTTAATATATCTTACAGAATAATAAATCTGGATCTCAAATTCCACCTGTAATATAAAACATCACACTGTTATTTTTTGAGTAAATGTCATATTTAGTTATTCAACTGTGATCGAATTAGTATGAAAAAATATGTATATACACACTAAATATCAATGATAATTGCCATTGGATTTTAAAATACCATTAAGTATTTAGTTATTTATCAATCACATATTTTTTCTTAAAAGAGAATATACTGAGAATCTTTACTAGTGTTACTTTTCATTTAAAAAATGCACATTTTTCACAATTTTGAAACTAAAATTGTACAAGAACATATATAAATGGTATAGTGCCCAAACTACCCACAAGCCGGTTCTAATTCACTTATTTTGAACCATACTAACAAATCCTAAAATGATATATACTTTTTCATTTATTCTGTTTATTTTTTAATTAAACTTTGAAAATAACTTCACTTTTTCTTCATCAAAATGGCTGTAACATTTTAATTCAAATATTATTTACTCTTCCTTGGACTAATTAGTTTCAACATAAAAGGAAATAAAATTTGCAGATTTAATATAAGAAAATGTTCTACTGCAACTTGATGTTTATAAAATGATCATTATATTTACATGTATTAAGTAAAATTTGATAGTGATAACCAGCATGAAAAAAAAAAAGAGTTTACCTGTTAAACCAATGCAAAATGTTTGAAGTGACCACATGAAGAATGGCTCTGGTAATTCTTACCCATAAATTCATATACTTCCAACAACTTATCTCTCAAACTGAGTTTTATGAAAAAAAAATTGCACCTCTTACCAATATGTCATTAGCCAAACCATTGATCACACTGTTAAATTCCATAAAAGTCTAACTAAATTGCACTTAATTAACTAGCGAACATTTAGAAAGAAAATAGTCATTCATAAAATTTTCCACAGGTAGAAAACAATTTGAGCAATGCTGAAGCATAACTTAACTATTATTTTAGAAGGCATTTTAGAAAATAAAGTGAAAATAGTTCCCATGAAAGAAGCAGTGATGAAAATTTAACAATAAAGTTGCCTCTGGATCTCTCAGACACTAAAAACAACCAATTTATCTTTCTCTCTTGGCCAACAATTCTTTCCATTTCCTTCACCCCTAGCTACAATTTCTATATGTTGGAAAGATGGCTGGAAAGCTACAAGCTTCAGGACTTTCCTCTGGTCATTGGGATGATCTGTCCCTCTTTGTCCATTCCCCCAGGGCTCACTGAGAGCTTCTGGCTTACTTCCCACAGCCTCTCAGCTGGATGTCCTTTACCAGCATCATAATTAAACAGGGAGCTGAGCTTCAAACTTAGCATCAGTGGTCCTGAGTCTAATCTCTACCTCTTGTTATTAGGGAGCCACAGGGCTCTCCACAAAGTAGCTAAGATCTCTGAACCTCAAGTTCCATCTACACAATAAAGGATGTGGGAAGACTTCTTTAAATTACTTTCTTTTTTTTTTCATTGTGATCTAATTTAATTCTCTTATTAGATACTTTAAAACAATTTGGTCCTTTCAAAACTCTTTGAAAAACAGAAACATAATTAAGATCAAGATATAAAAGAGTCGAGGAGAAAGGTCCATTGATGTTGACAAATATTCACCCAATTTAGATTTTGTCTTTGCAGAATCTTGTAGAATAATGAATTTAATGGACTGACACTATTAGAATCACCTATATTCTCTGTTATCAGAGTTGGAACAATTTGTTTTTGTTGCTAAGTTTAAATGATTCTACCTTCATCCTTGTACATTCTAGGATTGGAAAATTTTATGTAGAATAAAGTGGTGTAATCATATCCTTCTGTGTTGTCTAATTAATAGTGGCTCTATACCTGCCATAAGTTATGGACCAACTGATTCCTAGTGGAACATGTCTATTTGGCCCCAACTATTATGCCATCACTGTAGCTAAAGGATAAGTAAACCACTAACATTAAGCATGGTGGCTGAGATTTAAATCACTTTCAAAGCTGTCAATCACTTTGTAAACTGTAAGGAAAAAGTCAAATGAGATTATAATGGTGATGATGACGGTGATTATTTCAGTCACAGTTTAAGATTGCCTAGGGTAAAGTCATTAGTAATCGCTCCCAGATAAATTCTTATCTGGCTCAACAATCCATTAATAATTTGAAATTTAAGGTAACTTAACCAGCACTCAATTGATACAGTAATTTTGCTGTGCCATAGATATACTGTTTCTGCCTTTTACTCAAAGGCACTTTCTCTTTAAAACCCTGATAATATTTTCCTATTTGCCTTTATAACCACTTCCGAGTTCTAAAACATTTTCACCTGAAGACTTCAAAAGGTGCAGGTGTGGACCTTTTCACAACACAGTCAACCCACCACCTTAACAATGACACAGATGTTCTAGCCACAAATCTATATATTGCCCACATAACTTTCACCATCACGATTTTGAATTAAATCATTTATGTTTTTTATCATCCCTAGAGAAAAAAAAAAAAGTGGTAAGCCCAGGAATTTAGATCTAAGCTACACTGAAATAACACACTTCATTTAGGAGTATGAATTGAAGTAATTACTCCATTATATTCTACTATTACTTAAATGTAAAATATAAACTATCCTACTAATATAGGTCCTAGATAAAAACAGGGAAAATCATCCAACATGTTAAGAAATTTTATAGAAATTCTCACAGTTTATCTTTAACTGATAACATCTCATGCAACTTTTATAGTTTCCACAAGTAACCTAAGCCTTGGAATCTGATCTAATGTGTTTTTATAAATGTAAAAATAGAATAAAAGTTATCTCTAATGATTGTATATACATTTTTTGCAAAATTTAATGTAAGTGAAAATCATTCACACTTTTAAGATGTATATACCAGTGGAAATTTGAAAGAGTAAGAACATGATTTTAAAAGACAGCAATATCAGGGCACCTGGGTGGCTCATTCTTTGAAGAGTCTTATTCTTGATCTAGCTCGGGTTTTGATCTCAGGGTCGTGAGTTCAAGTCCTGCATTGGGCTCCATGCTGGGCATGGAGCCTACTTAAATAAAAAATTAAAATAAAAAAAAAGACAGCAGTATCTGTATCAAAAAATAATTTATGACTCCCTACCTTTCAGAAAAGACTAACTTGGGACTGACCAAAATAATTTCACTTTTATGAAGATTTCTGGTCTTCTTTTAAAGGCATTCAGAAAAATCAGAGACCTTTTAATATAAGTCAGAATTATTTTTCATAAACCAAAGAAAACATAGAATTTTAAAACAGAAAAGCAGGAGAGAATTACATCTCCTTTATGGATCTAGAGTAATGTGAGGCCAACAGTGAAAATATTAGAACCAGAGTTCCCTGTTGTCTCTTTTATTTTTTAAGGTGTGGAAAATTAGAAAACAAATCAAAATATCAGTTGGTAAGAGGACAATTTTGGAATTAAAAATTATTCTCAACCTTTTTTTTACTCGTTTCATGATAGTGTGATTTACTAATTAAACATAGAGATAAGATCACAGTTGAAGTTCTCTAAATTCTCATTCCTAGGAGGATTAGCTCATTCATCATGATTTCTATTTGATTTTTCATGCCTTTGCAGAAGATTACATGAAGGTTATTACTTTCCATTTGCATATTTTCTGATTAATTTATATTTGACATGCACAAGAGTATTTTTTTCACAGACATAAACATTGATTCATTTCTATAACCCAAACGTCACATCCTACAAATTAAACATTCTACCACATACAATAGGGAGGGAAGCACAGCAGAGACCTAGGTAAATGTTTCTAAAAACCCAGTACATAATTTTCTCTGTGTTCTTCATGCTACCAGTAGCTGACCAACAAGTCCAGAATTTCTTTCTTTGATTAAGGTGGCAATAATTGTGACTCCTTGCCTTAAACTTGCCTGTAGCTTCTGTTCATCCTGAAAAAAAAAAAGGACAAAACAATAATTATTTTAAAAAGAAAATATGTCACATTAAATTTAATAGTTACTTTTATCTTTTAATATTTCTTCATATTTTAGTTTTTTTCGCATCAGCTTTACAGAGATATATTTGACATGTAACATTGTGTGAGTGTAGGCTGTACAATGTGATGATTTGATATACCTATGTATTATGAAATGATTACAAAAAAGTTAATCCATTACCTCATACAGTTACCATTGAGGGGGCAGTGAGAGCATTCAAGATCTACTCTCTTAGCAACTGCCAAGTATACGATATTGTTAACTATAATCACCATGCTATACATTAAAATCCCAGAACTATTCACCTTACAACTGAAGTTTGTACGCTTTGATCAACATCTCTCATTTCCTCCACCACTCAGCCCCTGTCCACCACCATCCTCCTGTTTTTATGGGTTCAGGGAGCCACTTTTCAAGGTCCCCTGGTTCTCTGGACTTGGCACCCTCTGGAACTCAGATCATAGCTACTGGTATGCATGTCGTCTCTCAAATAAAGGAGAAAAGCTTTTGCAAGCACTTTTCATTATATACAAAATGTGTCTGCTGAAGATACCAAGAAAACACTGACACAATTTCAAATCCTAGCAGTATGAAACAAAAAGATTTTCCCTTAATCCAATATCTGACCAACTTTGGCTCTTCACTCAAGTGTGAATATTTCATCGATGATGCAAGCCTTTCCTTCATTTTGTTTCTGAGTGTTCGCCAACAAAAGACTTTGTTATAAACTGTGAATACTGGTCTGGGAGGAAAAATAAAAATGGCTTGCTGTTTGTGAAATAAGGATCAGGCACATTAGTGAAATGAGTTTCTCACAAGTTGCTAAAATGTGGTTTTTGCCTGTGAAATCATATTGCCTATGAATATATGTTTACTCCAACTGTTTAGTCTTCCTGAGGGGGATGAAGGGGAAGAGAGAGTCACAACAGAGCTAGTCTCTTTAGGGTGTCTGTGTTGTGAATTGTGTTAGGTTCGGGAAGAGGGACCTGGTAACCAACTTCTAAATGCTGGCAACATCCTTAACACCTTCTCCTAGTGTTCGGTGTATGACTAGAACCTACTGCTCCTACCTTCTTAACGTTTCTTGACTCCACTTACTCCATTCAAACTGCCGCTGCCAGCAAAACATCTCCATCCTAAATTACTGGAACAATCTCTCCAACAGTCTCTCTGAAGTCTTGTTCTCTTCTACTCTGTTTCCCACACAGCAATCAAAATACTTATTCTAACATATAGATCTGATCACATTACTACCCTGCCTAAAATCCTTCCAGGGCTACCTTTGAACTTCAGGGTCCAATCAGAACCCTTTGCCTTTATATCCTTCCATCCTTTCTGCCATTCCCTTAGAATCACTCAATTCCCCAAGCCACACAGAACTGCGTAAGATTGCCCAAACAAGCTATTTTTCTGAACTTCCATTCCTTTGCCTCAGCTAATCCCTTTGCCAGGAAAGCTATCTCACTCCCTTCCTGCATTAGCTGACCCTAGTTACTCTTTGTGGTTCCACCCAGTTATCAGTGGTTGCAATCTACCCGGATCCCTATCCCCCAGCCCAGTTGGGTGAGGCAAATCTCTGTTTCCACAGCTATTAATTCCTCCAGCACACTGAATTCTAATAGTCTTTTTAGTTGACCATCTATTCCCCCAGATGATGAGTTTCTTGAGGTAAAGAATTTTTCCATTTTGTCTTTGAATATGGAACACTTAGTTCAATGCCTACCACATGGTAGCACTCCATAAATTATAATGAATTCAAAGCAAAGAAGGCTATGATAGAGGTTTCATCACCCTTTCAGTTTAACTCATTTCTTAACATTGACCACTTTTTGGTTACTTTGTTTACTCCTATTTGCATATTTGGCAGGAAACCTGGCAATGGTACAAAGAGTATTATCAAAACCTTTCCACTACCACATCTCCATCAGCCCAGAGGCCCTAGGCTCTTCATCTATGAGGATGGTGGCGAGAGACCATCTCTGCTTCATCTACACTTTCCCATCAATTTCCCTGATTGTGTTCTAAGGGGTAGAGCTGGGGAAAACCCACAAGGGTTAAATCGTGGCTACTCTGTATCTTGCAAGTGAGTTTTAGTGACATTTCAGTACTGAATTTCAAAGGCTGTACTGGCTTCCTGAATATAACAAGACCTAAATCACATATGAACCATTCTAAAGCCAAATATGCCTGGACTTAAAACGTGATTCGCTTATATGAGGAGTAGGTATCATTCATGCCACATCATTCATAAATACATAAATATTCCAAAACGGAACAAAATACAAATTAACTCTAGATATGTATGTGTCACTCTTAATGATTAATTAATTACAATATTGCAGGGTTTATAATACACGTCTACACCCAAGTCTCATTTATTAAATTGAGACATACAACAGATGATGAAAATTACAGGTTCCCCTTTAAAAATAAACAGAAAAAGACTATCTGTATAGCCTCTTCGAAACCAATTTATACTTATCATAATGAAAGCAGGAGAGCAATACATGAAGAAGGGGAAAAAATCTGTTTAAGAAACTAGGGTTAGAAAATCACATTTCTAAGTCTTAGAATAAATCTATTCCCATTTGATAGCTCCACAACTTATATACCTTTAACTAATGAATTTAAGAATGTTCTTTTAAAAGTTAATTTATTTATGCAATTTCAACAGGCATCATTTGGAATGAGTGTAATTCAGTGAGAAGAACCAATGTTAACTCACTATTTTCCCTTTCTGCCTGAGCTCATTTTATCCCTGAAAAATATAGAAATTCAAAAAAGTGATTAAACAAGATGGTGAGACCCACCTATACTCAGAAAATTCTACTATGTACAAAGAGCAGGTGTTCAAACAATGTATGGACTTCAAAGTCATCTCAAAATTATCTCTACAAAAGCATTGCTAATGCAATTTTTAAAAAAGGTAAATTCAAACAGATCTTTAAAAAAGCATTTCTTGCTGCAGTAGATATGCAAACCACTGTTTTTAATTGAGGAGGTGGGGGGAACAAGGGGGGCCTTACAGCTGATGATTTTATCACACACAAGTGCGTGTGTGTGTGTATTTTGTGTATTCCAAATATTATATAATAAAAATATTTAATGTTAAAATTAAGTAAGCAAGGTCAACATGAATGCTGAAAAATCATGCTCACAGTACACATTCTTGATACAATGTAACGAAATGGCATTGACTGTTGTGGTCACCCTCCCCAAAACCCATAACCCCAGTCTAATCATGAGGAAAACATTATACATATTCCAGTAGAAGGGCATCCTACAATATATCTGACCAGTCCTCCTCAAAATTGTGAAGTTCGTCAAAAACGAGTCTGAGAAAACGTCACAGACAAAAGGAACCTAAGGAGACATGACCAACTAAAAGTAACATAACATCCTGAAATTAAAAAAAATACATTAGTTTAAAACTAAGGAAATCTGAATAAACTATAGGACTTTAGTTGTTAAAAATAAGGGAGACTGGGTACAGGGCATAGAGTAACTCTCTGCTATCCTGAATAATACAAAGTGTATTCATTCTCAAAAAAGTATGTGTTCAATTTCAAAATATTTCTCTTGATTTTAACAATGTTTCTGTGCCAGAATTACAAAACTTGAGTTACAAAGTTAGTTTATTTGTGTGTGCCAGCCCATGTATATATTCCTTAAATAAAATACACTATTCTTTTCATAAATTGTGCAACTGATAAGGGCACCGACTCTAGAATGAGACTGCTGGTATTCAAATACAGGCTTTGACAATTTTCAAGTGATCTTGAGCAAATTATGTAAACCTCACAGTTCTCCATTTTTTCTTCTAAAAATATAATAATATTAGCTGCCTCACCACTTTTCTGTGGGGACTGAATCAGACAAGACACATAAACCACAGATACCTGGTAAATGTCCATTGATAATAGCTGTTAGAATTATCTTTATGGTGTGCACTAACTTCGCCCATGACATAGTAGCTGATATCACTCTCTCATCACACATAACCATTAAATCTGATTATCTACTATATGTAAAAATACTGTTGCAGCTCTTGGACAGTAACCTATGCATGTCTACAATCCTTGAAAGAAAATCCTTTTAGGTAACATTCACCCCAGCTGTCTCGTTGAGAGAATTTTTCCAAACTATAAAGAGAAATAGAGTCCAAGAAGAGAATGACAGTACACCCAGGTAGAAAAGACACAGATTACAATTTAGAGTGGTTAAGGTGGCGTGGATTTGAGCAGGCGAAGTCCCTGGCAGTGGGGAGTTGCAGAAAAGTCCTAAAAATCTGCTAAGAATCCCTTCATTTCTTGGTCAACTTCTAAACTGAGCTTCTGCGGGAAGACTCAGTGGGGCTTAGCAGAGAATAACTGCTGGAAAGCTGGGGAGCTGAGCAAAGATTCAGAGGCCACACTGTACTGAGAACAAGGAGATTAGATATGAGTTCAGCTAGAATGAAGAGATCTTGGTGAATACCCATGGCCTTTGGTTGAGAGCTGTAAAAGGCCATGCCTATAGCCTGGGAATAAAGACAAAATGGAATTGAACCTGCCCTAACGAAGTTTAAACAGCCTTCAGAAGATCTGGTTTATCTCCCAATAATATAAGTGCTTGCCAGAACAAGTTTTAGTATTCTTTGGAGGAAGCTAAAATAAGCTAGAGCCTTCAAAAAGTTTCATAACTCAAGTACGGCATATAATAAAATCTTACCTGATGAGTAAAGAAGAAGAAAGCAGGAGGGGAAAAAAAAAAAAAACTTAAGGAGAGAAAATCATCCGTATATAGGATAGTTTTCAGACATAATCCATATGTTGGAATTAGCATGCAAGGATTTCAAAATAACTATGATTAATATGTTAAAAAGGATAGAAGAGATGGAAACTGATGAAAAATGGACATTTTCAACATAGCATGGGAATCTATAATAAAGAATATTTTACACCTGTAAAATA